GCTTGTGATGCTGGGGATCTGGCGTCTTAGCTGGGGTGGGTAGGCAAAGTGCAAGGGGGCAGGAGGGGCAGGCTTAGCTTGCTTCTCCTTAGGTGATCCACTTCAGGAGGGGCCCTGTAGCAGCAGAAGGGAGTCACATCCGCTGCCGGAGGTTTGGCTCTGCAGAAGCGCCGAGTTGGGTGTTTGCGCGGAGGAGCAAGTTCCCTGGCAGGAACTGGTTCTCTTTGGGATTTGGGCTGGGGGATGGGCGGGGGAGATGGCGCTGGCGAGCGCCTTTGCTTCCCACCAAACTGAGCTCTGTCGTCCGGGGGCTCAGCAGCTCTCCTTCCCTTTGTCCTCCAGCCTTCCTGCTTTCTGAGCAGAGCTGTTAACTTATGATCTCCCAGACGCTAAGTCGCGCTTGCTGTCGGAACACAGTCCGTCATGCCCCTCCGCTTTTTGCAAGCCAGACTCGAGGGCTCTGCTTGGCCGGCGAGATGCCCCTCTGCCCCGGCTCCCTCCCGCCAGTCCGTGGAGCGGGCACCGCCTTGCCGCCCTTCCTACCCTCTTCCGTGGGCCTCTCGTCTGTGCTTGGCTCCGGCGACTCCGTTCTGCTAATCCTCTGGCGGTTTTCTGGGTTATTTAGGCAGGTGTAGGTGGAATCTAAGTGAACAGCAGGACGTGGGGTGAGCCCAGTGTCCTCCTACGCCGCCATCTTCCTCCTATCTCTCGTGTCTGGCAATTCTTTATCTCACCTTCAATTCTGAATGATAGCCTTGCTGGATACAGTATTAATTACTGCAGATTTTTTCCATTCAGTACATTGAATATACCATGTCACTCTCTTCTGACTTGCCACATTTCTGTTGAGAGATGTGCAGCTAGCCTTATGGTTCTTCCCTTATAAGTTAATGACTGCTTTTTTCTTGCTTCCTTTAGAATTTTTTGTTTATCTCTATATTTTGCAAATTCAATTACAGTATGCCTGGATGTTGGCCTGCTTTTATTGGTTTTGATGGGAATTCTCTGTGCCTCCTGGATCTGGATGTCTGTTTCCTTCTCCAGATTAGGGAAATTTTCTCAAAATATTTTGTGCCCCTTTTCTCTCTCTTCTTCTCAGACTCCTATAATACAAATATTATTACATTTGATGGAGCACTGAGTTTCCTAATTCTATTCTTGTGTTCTATAATCCTTCTTTCTTTCTTTTGTTCAGGTTCATTATTTTCCATTATGTTCGCTTGTATATCACTTACCCATTCCTCTGCTTCTTTCATCCTTCATTCAGTTTAGAATCTCAATTATTGCATTTTTCATTTTTGACTGTTTTGTAACTCTTTTATCTCTGTGGAAAGGGACTCTCTGAAGCCTTCCTTTCTTTTCTGAATCCCAGCAAGTATCCTTATGATTACTGCTTTAAATTCTCCAGCAGATATATTACTTATGTTTGTTTTATTTAGATTTCTGGTCATGGTATTATATTTTTCTTTCATTTGGGATGAATTTCTCTTTCTTGTCTCTGTCGTCTTGTTTGTGTTAAAAGCCTGTCATATTTCTGGCTTCTGAGAGTGATGACATTATGTAGAAGAGTTCGTATAGGGTCCAGGACCTGGTGCTTCTTGGAGTGTCTCTGTTTTGTTTTGTGTGTGCTCTGCTGTGTTTTGCCTGCTCTGTCCTTCAGGCCAGTTGTCTGCAGAGGCTCTCCTTGCCTGCAGTGTTTGGTTCTTGGCCAGAGTGTGGTGAATTTTAACTAGATGTGCTCTGGTATGCTTATTAAATGAGACCTGATACTATTTCCCCTGCAGTACTCTCTGGTTAGGAGACATGGGCAGGGGTTTCTGCTTCTACAGAAGGTGTCTGCTCTGCGGGGACTGATGCAAGCTTGACCAGAAATGACAGTATTTCCGGTGCACAGTGATGTGAAACATGGTGTAAGCAGTGTCAGAACTGTGATACTTACTGCAGGTGGCTCTGTGTTTATATTAGGGGGTAGGAGGGAGATGACATCAACAAACTTATTTGTCATAAGAGTGGAGTGAGTCTCTGTGCACACTGCTTCTCAGGAAAACAGTTGAAAAAGAGCAAATAATCTCCCCACCATGTGTTCCAGGAATTTTTCAGATAACTGTTTCCACAATGTCTGCCTCCAAGTTGTTTGACTCCTTCCTTCCAGTAGCTGTGCAGTGCCCTTGGGTATCTATCCCAACCAAGGCTTCTGACTTTTAAAACTATTGGATTTAGGAATGTGGTGTTTTCAGAGTCCTTCTCTGGTCTTCTGGGGAAGGGTATTGCCATGCTAGGACTATGGCTGACTTGACAGATCAGATAACTTGTGCCAGAGCACAGCACTGTGGGGTTTTGTATAAATGGGTTAAGTGGCCAATGTTGGGGCTGACCCACTTCTCATATTTGGTCTGTGATTATGCTGATGGGAAGAGGAGGGGAATGGCACCATTTCTTTTGTCCCCTGAGAGGCATCTCCATGAACACTACCTCTCTGGGACAAGCTACAAGAAGATAATTATTTAATAATTAATAAAATAATAATATTAATTAACAATAATTATTTAACAATTATTTAAACAATTATTTAATAAATATTTAATTAATATATGATATAATTACATCATATTATATAACAAAAATTATATATATTTTTTTCTTTGTTAACTATTGATGGACACATAGGTTGTTTCTATGTCTTGCTATTATAAATAATGCTGCAGTAAAAATGAGGTTGCAGATATCTGTTTGAGATACAATTTTGTTTCATTGGTATATACACAGTAGTGGAATTACTGGGTTATATACTATTTCTAATTTTTTGAAGAGCCTTAATACAGTTTTCCATAGTGACTGCACAAAGTTACATCCCACTGCCAACAGTTCACAAGGTTTTCTTTTACTCCACATCCTTACTAGCATTTTTTATCTTTTACTTTTTGATACTAGCCATTCTAACAGATTTTAGGTCACATCTCACTGTTTTCTTTTCTTTTTAGAAAAAATAATACTAGTAGAGTAAATAAACAGTATAATGTTAGTATAGGGTACAACATAGTCATTCAAAAATTCCACAGATTAGTCATTGCTCATCATGTTAAGTGTACTCTTAACCTTCTTCACCTATTTCACCCATCCCCCACATCCACCTCCTCTCCAGTAACCGTCAGTTTCTTCTTTATAGCTAAGAGTCTTTTTCTTGATTTCTCTCTTTTTTCTTTGTTTTCTTTCTTAAATTCCACATATGAGTGAAATTGTATGATATTTGTCTTTCTCTGACTGACATATCACTTAACATTATACTGTGGACCTGTTCATGTTGTTGAAAATGGCAAGATGGCATTCTTTTTTTATGGTTAAATAATATTCTGTTGTATATGTATAGCACATCTTCTTTACTCATTCATCAATCGGTGCACACTTGGGCTGTTTCCTAATGTAGTTATTATAAATAATGTTTATATAAACATTGGGGTGCACCTTCAAATTTTTGTGTTCTTTAGGTAAATACTCAGTAGTGCAATTCCTAGATCATAAGGTAGTTTTAATTTTATTTTATTTGAAGAACTTCCATACTGTCTTCCAAAGTGGTTTCACCAGTTTGCATTCCCACCAACAGTGAATGAGAGTTCCTTTTTCTCCACATCCTCACCAACATTTGTTGGTTCTTGAGGTTTTGATTTTAGCCATTATAACAGGTATCAGATGATATGAGATTGTGGTTTTGATTTGCATTTCCTTGATGATGAGTACTGCTGAGTATCTTTTCATGTGTCTTTGGCTATCTGTATGTCTTCTTTAATGAAATGTCTTCTCTTCTGCCCATTTTTTAACTGGATTATTTGTTTTTTGGGTGTAGAGTTTTATCAGCTCTTTATATATTTTGGATACTAATGCTTTATCAGATATGTCATTTTCAAATATCTTCTCTCATTCAGTGTGTTGTCTTTTAGTTTTGTTGAAAGTTTTCTTTCCTGTACTGAAGCTTTTTATTTTGATATAGTCTCAATTGTTTATTTTTGCTTTAGGTTCACTTGCCTCAGGAGACATATCTAGAAAGACCTTGCTAAGGTTGATGTCAGAGAAATTACTGCCTTTGCTCTCTACTAGGATTTTCATGGTTTCAGGTTTCACATTTAGGTACTTAATTCATTTTAAGTTTATTTTTGTTTATGGTGAAAGGAAGTGGTTCAGTTTCATAATTTTGCATGTTGCTGTCCAGTTTTCTCAGCACCATCTGTTGAAGAGACTGTCTTTTTCCCATTGTATATTCTTGCCCTATAATATATCATTATAGATAAATTGACCATAAAATTGTGGATTTATTTTGGGGTTCTCTGTTATGTTCTATTGATCTATATATCTGTTTTGTGCCCAAACCATATGCTTTTGATTACTACAGCTTTGTAGTATATCCTGAAATCTTGATTTTGATACCTCCAGTTTTGTTCTACTTTTTCAAGATTGCTTTGGCTTTATGAGGACTTGTACGGCTCCATACAAATTTTAGAATTATTAGTTGTTCTAGTTCTGTGAAAAAGGCTGTTTTGATAGGGATTGAATTAAATCTGTAGATTGCTTTAGGTAGTAAAGGCATTTTAACAATATTTTTTCATCCAATCAATGAGCATGGAATATCTTTCCATTAGTTTGTGCTCTCTACAAAGTTTTCCATCAATATTTTATAGTTTTGGAGTACAGGTCTTTCACCTCCTTGGTTAAGTTTATTCCTAGATTTTGGTGCAAATGTAAATGAGATTATTTTCTTAATTTCTCTTTCTGCTACTTTATTATTAGTGTATAAAAATACACCTGACTTCTGTATATGGCTTTGTATCCTGCATCCTTACTGAATTCATTTTTCAGTTGTGGTAGTTTTATGATTGAGTTTTAAGTCTTTCTATATATATAGTATAATGCCACTACAAATACTCAAATAGTGAAAATTGTACTTCTTCATTACCAATGTGGATGCTTTTTTGTTTCTTTTCTGCTTGCTGTGTCTAGGACTTACAGTAGTGTGTTGAGTAGATGTGGTGAGGGCAAACATCTGTGTCTCGTTCTTAATCTTAGAGGAAAACATTTTATATTTTTAAAAATTTGGTATGATATTAGCTGTGGGTTTTTCATATATGGCTTTTACTATGTCAATGTATGTTCCCTTTAACCCTAGTTTGTTAAGAGTTTTTATCATGAATTGATGCTGTAGTTTGTCAAAAACTTTTTTCTGCATCCTATGGTTTTTATACTTTCTCTTGTTAATGTGATATATCACATTGACTGATTTGTAAATATTGAACCACTCTTGCATCCCAGGAATAAATCCCACTTCATCATGTTGAATGCTTTTTAGTACATAGTTGGATTTGGTTTGCTAAAATTTTGTTCAAGATTTTTCATTTATTTTCATCAGAGATATTACCTTGGAGTTTTTTTCTGTTGTTGTTTCTTTGTTTTTGTAGTTTCTTTATCTGGTTTAATGTCAGGGTAATGCTAGCACCATAGAATTAATTTGGAAACTACCCTCTCCTATTTTTTAATAGTTTAAGAAGAATACATATTAACTCTTCTTTAAATATTTGATAGAATTTACCTGTGAAGCCATCTGGTCCTGGACTTTTTTTGGGGGGGGATTTTTTTTGACTATTAATTAAATCTCATTGCTGGTAATCTGTTGGTTCAAATTCTTTGTTTCTTCCTTTCTTCAGTTTTGGTAAGTTATATGTTTCTAGGAATTTATCCATTTCTTCCAGGTTGTACGGTTCATTGGCGTGTAGTTTTTCATGATATTCTCTTATATTCTTTTGTATTTCTATTCTGTTGGTTATTATTTCTCCTCTTTCATTTCTGATTTATTTGACTTCTGTTTCTCTTTCTGTCTCTCTGTCTCTGTCTCTTTTTTTTCTGATGAGTCTGGCTGCATCCCAAGTATTTTGGACTATTGTGTTTTCATTTCAATTTGTCTCAATGCATTTTTTTTCTATGGTTTCTTGGTTGATCCATTCGTTGTTTAGCAGAATATTATTTATCCTTCATGTATTTGTAGACTTTCCTTTTTTTCTTGTGGTTGATTTCTAATTTCATAATGTTGTGATTGGAAAAAGATGGATGATACGACTTCATTTTTTTAAATTTGTTAAGACTTATCCTGCAGCCTAATATGTGATGTATTCTGGAGAATGTTCCCTGTACACTTGGAAAGAATGTGTACTCTGCTGTTTTAGGATGGAATGTTCTGAATATGTCTATTAGGTCATGTGGTCCAATGTGTCATTCAAAGCCACTGTTTCCTTGTGTATTTTGTGTTTGGGTAATGTATCCATTGATGTAAATGGGTTTTATATTATAGTCCCCTACTATTATTTCTTTTTCTGTTCTATTCTCTTTTTGTCTTTTTTTTCTTTTTTTTCTTTTTCTTTTTTTCTTTTATTTATTTATTTGTTTTGTTATTAGCTGTTTTATGTATTTTGCTGTTCCATGTTGGGTGCCTAAATATTAAAGATTATTATATCTATTGTTGGATTGTTTCCTTTATGATTATATAGTGTCCATCTTTGTCTCTTGTTATAAGCTTTGTTTTAAAGTCTATTTTATCCAATATAAGTGTTACTAGCTTGGTTTTCTTTTCACATCCATTTGCATGATACATAGCTTTTCATCCCTTCATTTTCATTCTGCACGTGTCTTTAGGTCTGAAATGAGTATTTTAAAGGCAGCATATAGATTGATCTTGCTCTTTTGTCCATTCTGTCACCTTGCGTCTTTTGATTGGAGTGTTTAGTCCATTTACATTCAAAGTAATTTTTGGTAAGTATGTACTTATTGCCATTTAGTTACTTGTTTTATGGTTATTTTCTTAGTTTACCATTGATCCTTTCTTCTTTTACTCTTCTTTCAAAGTTTGCTGTCTTTCTTTGGTGATACACCTGGATTTCCTTCTCTTTATTTTTTTGCAAATCTATTACCAGTTTTGATTTGTGGTTACCATTCAATTTATATACAAAATCTTATGCACATACCTGTCTTTATTAAGTGGATTATGGCTTACATTTGAACACGTTCTTACTGTTCTCCCCACCACTACCACATTTTGGGTATATGACGCCATATTTTACATTCTTTTATTTTGTTAATCCCTTCACTGAGTTTTATAGTTATATTTGTTTTTACTTCTTTTGAGCTTTCTACTTTTCTTTCCTACTTATGGTCTTTCCTTTACACTCAAATAGTTCCTTTGAACATTTCTTGTAGGGCTGATCTAATGATCATAAATTCCTTTAACTTCTGTTTGTCTAGGAAACTCTATCTTGCATTCTATTCTGAATGATAGCATTGCTAGATAGAGTATTCTTGCAGTTTTTTTTTTCCCATCACTCTGAATATATCATATTACTTCCTTCTGACCTGCAAAATGTCTGTGATAGATTCACTTATAGCCTTATGGGGTTTCCCTTGTATGTAATTGTTTTCTTTCATCTTTCTGCTTTTAAAATTCTCTTTTTATCACTGCTTTTTGTCATTTTACTTACCATGTATTTTAACGTGGATGTCCTTGTGTTGATTTTGTGGGAGTTCTCTGCGCCTCCTAGATCTGGATTCCTATTTCCTTCCCCAAATTCAGGAAGTTTTCAGCTATTATTTCTTCAAATAAATTTTCTCTGCCCCTTTCTCTCTCTTCTGCTTCTGGGATCCCTATTGTGTGAATGTTATTACATTTGATGGTGACACTGAGTTCCCCAAGTTTATTTTAATTTAATAGTATTTTTTTTCTCTTCTGTTCAGCTTGATTGATTTCTGTTACTCTGTCACCTAGGTCACTTATCAATTCTGCTTCCTTTAGTCTATTATTTATCTATCTAGTGTATTTTAACTTCAATTGTTGAGTTTTTCACATCCAATTTGTTCTTTTTTATGTTTTATATCTCTTTGTTGAGGATCTTACTGATGTTCTCCACTACTTTCTCAACTCCAGTGAGTATCTTTATGATCAGTACTTTAAGGTATCTATCAGGCATATTACTTATTTCTATTTTGTTTCACGCTCTTGCTGTGATTTTCTCCTGTTCTTTGATTTGAGACATTTCCCTCTGTCTCTTCATTTTGTCAATCTTTCAGTGTCTGTTTCTACATGTTAGGAAAGTCATTATGTCTCCTTCTTTTGACAGTAGTGACCTTATGAAGAAGAGATCTTACAGTGCCTTGGAGTAAAATGTCCCCTGTTTACCAGAACTTGGTGCTTCAGGGGTGTCTACTATGTGTGATTGATGTGCCCTACTGTTGTAGCTAAGCTGTGTTTTTCTTGAGTCCCATTATCTACAATGGCTCTCTTTGCCTGTTGTGGCCAGAGTTTGGTCTCTGTGTTGTTAATGGGCCAGTCTAGAACTTCCTTGTGCTTGAGTTAAGTCAGACCAGGAGTTTGCCAGAGATATAGTAGCATCAAACTGCTGGGAATTTTCCTTCTATTGCCCTCTGAGAAGCTTTCATTGGTGGGTGAGGCCTGAAGTGAAACCAGCTGTCTATCTCCAGCCCAATGCTGGGACTACAGTCCGACTGGTGTGTGGATATCTTCCCCTTTCCCTGAGGTAGGAGTCACCTTGGAGTGATAGTGGTGGCCCCTGTTGAGGCTGCTTGCACACTGCCAGACTTGTGGCATATCTCTGAATGGGTTCCAGCCAAGACCATATCAGAGGGGGCAGGAGCAAAGAATGCAGGGGTGGGGCTCATGGTATTAGCAAGTTTGGACAGATCTCTTGTGGAGGAGAAGTGTAGCCAATTTAGAAAACAGCCACCTGGCTGGAGAGGAGAATTCCCAGGAAAGTTACAGGGGCAGAGTATGTGGTGTTAGCAAGGTTTGCATGGGTCTGTTGTAGGTGGAGACCTGGAGCAGCCTCGGACTGAAATCCACAGAAGACCATGGGGTTGGGCACATGGTGTTAGCAAGGTTTGTTTGGGTATGCTCGGGAGGATACTTGGAGTGGAGATGGGCTTAAGGGGTAATATACTCAGGAAAACATGCATGGTTGAATTGTTAGAAAATAGGTAGAGAGTTTGGTACTGTGCTGTTTCCCACAGGTGTCCATGTGCTTAGGCTGAGGGGCAGGGGATGGAAATGGTGCTCCTTAGCTCCTTTGTTCCTGGGGAAGTCTCCCGAAGATCCTTGCCTCTCCAGTACACTCACTGAGATGAATAAATAAATCTCCTCCTTGTATACCCCAGGCCTTTTTCAAACTGCTGTTTCCACACTGTAATTCAGTGGGGCTGTTTGTTGTGCTGTCTCTTTAAGGGCAGGAACTCAGTTTCCTGTGGCCCTCCTGGCTCTCCCAAAACAGAGCCCACTGATTTTTAAAGCCCCAGGTGTTAAGGTCTGCTGATTGTAAAAACGCAAAAAAATTGACCCCTCTGGTTTTCAAAGCTAAATGTTATAAGGATTTGTCTTCCCCGTGAGGGTTTCCAATACCTAGAGTGCTTGGTGTGAGGGTCAGTTTCTCTTTATATGCCCTCATCATCACTCCTTACTGCAGACAGATTCATGGGTCTATTTAGTTTCTGTCCCTGTGTCCACCCTTCCTACCCTCTTTGATGTGGCCTCTTCTCTACATTTAGCTGTGACCAGTCTGTTTTGCCAGGCTTTGGGTCACTTTCTAGGTTATTTACACTGATGTGGGTATTATCTAGTTGTATCTGTGGGTCAAGGTGATCTTATGATCTTCCTACACCACCATCTTCCCCAGAAGTCCATCTCAGTGTTTTTGATCTGTATTTTGCAATCATTAATTATGCTGAACATTTTTATGTACTTGTTATCCATTTGAATATTTTCTTTGGAAAATTGCCTTTTCATGTCCATTGCTCATTTTTATTTTTCTGAAATTGAGTTGTAGGAGTTCTTTACATATTTTATATATTAATCCCTTTCAGATATATGATTTGCAAATATTTCTTCCATTCTGTAGGTTGCCTTTTCATTTTATTGATTGCTAAATTTATTTATATAAGTAAATTAGGCAGAAATTGCATATTTAGTGTTGCAATGTAGGAAGTTAGAAAGGGCTCTAACAGTTTGTTGGAATGAATGACAAGAGCTGGGATCAAAAGATGGCCTAACTTGAGCAAAATGGAAATGATTGATCACCCTTGGCTTAGTGTAGTGGAAGGGATTAAAAAGCTGAGAGGCACTAAAGTGTTAGAGTAGATTTATTATATAAGACCTCCTTACTCACACTGGGAATGTCCAAAAGGCATACCTTTCACCAGTACAGTGGGAAATAAATTGAGAAGAGAGCACCAGCATTGGTGATGAGATTTGTGATTTCTCTCCTCTTTGGACAGACAGGGTGAAAACCACTGCCACACAATTGTAATATAAATCCTTAGGGTAATTGGATCCTGGGATGCCAGTAGCCAAGTGGCATCACTAAATTTCCATGAGCAAAGTAGGTGTAGCTACTCTAATGGACAGCAGAGTCAGTATTCAGAATAGTCTGATTTGCACAGACCTATGGTGTTGGCTAGTTAGTCATAGTGTTTTTAGAAGGGGATGATATGGAAAACCTACTTATTTAACTTGTATAAGTGGAAAAGACCTAAATCATATTTAAAAAATCTAACTTCAACAATAAAAAATAGAAAGTGTCAGTCCATTAATCAACTGCAGGCTTGAGCTTGTCTACAGAACCAAAACCACTTGAATGAAGGGACAGCCAGATGCCCTGAATGAAAGGTCAACCAGTTCCCTGAGACACTATGAAACATTTATATACTTTATTTTTTCCAGTCTTCCTCAAAAAGGACACTGTATTTTACCAGGGTAACTACAAAATTGTGGGAAAGAAAATAATTATACAATTCTGGGACAACTGTGCCCTGAACTTACATTGTTTCCAGGATTGGAAACATCACTGTGGGCCTCCAATCAGAAATGGGGCTTATTAGGGGTTAGGCGATAGACCTTAAACTAAGTTCCATCTCATAGTGGGACCAGAGTTTTCCTGAACCTATCCTGTGGTTATGTCCCAGATCAAAAATACCTAATTGAAATAGTGATAATAAGCAGCTGACAGGAACGTCCTTTAGTTCCCTAACCTGGAGGGTGATGCCTATTGTCACAAGTTAGTTTAAAGGATATTGATCACCTGTTGAATGGACTTAGTGGGAAGAACAGCTAATTTGCATTGATTGGTAAGTCATTTATGTGTCAAAGTGTGGGGAATAAATCAGATTAAAATTCAACAAAATTCCATCAGAAATTACTAGGACTCCAGTAGTGTGGATTATGTTGAGATATTCTTAACATTCAGAATAGGTTAATTTGCATTGGCCCCTCCTACAACTGAGAAATTTACACAACACTTTAGTTGGCCTCTTTGGATTTATGAAGAAACATATATGCATCTGGGTGTATTATTCCATCCAATTCATGAAGTGACTCAAAAATCTACTTGTTTTCAGTGGGACCAAGAACAAGAGAAGGCCCTGCAATAGTTCCATACTGTCAGTCCAGATGCTCTACCTTTAGGGTCATATATTCTAGCCAACACAATGGTTCTCAAAAGTTTCACTCAATGCTGTTTGAAGCCTCAGAAGCCCTTATAGATTAATCATATCTTAGCCATTTATTATTTTAGAGCAAGGCCCTGCCATAATTCTCAGATAATTGCTCTCCTTTTGAGAACAAATCTTTGACTGCTACTGAACCTGAGCAGAGACTCAATCCTTGACCATGGGCCACCAAGTTACCATGAGACCTGAACTGCCCATCATAAAATGGATGATACCTGAACATATTGAGCTATAAAAATTTGTGTGCACAGCAATACACCATAATTAATTTAAATTGATATATACATGACTGGATGCAGGCATAATGCGGCAAGTAAGTTATATGAAGAATCAGCAAAAATGTACATATACCTTTGCTACTCTGTCTTCTCTCTCTCAGTCCATAATTATAGTCTTATGAATAACTCCCTAAGGTCATTGACATAAAAAGAAAAATGACTTTACGTGATATGCAGACACCATCCAAAAGCTCTGCAGCATTCTAACCCCTCTCTGGGATATCCCTGTAGGATAGTGATGCTGGTAAATCCTTCCAGTGGGCAGAACTCCATGCAGTGCACCCAGACATTCAAATTGTTTGGAAGGAGAAATTGTTTGTAAAGACATGGAATCATATACTACTCATGAGTTATGGCCAATGTCCAGGTTTAATGGTCAAAGACTTAAAGACGAATGGAAATAGGTGACAATGTAATTTGTGTTTAAGACATGTGGATACATCTATCTCAAGTAGCAGAAAACCATTAACATATTTGTGTTTCATGTTAATGCTCACCAAGGTTGACTTCAGGAGCATAGGACTTCAAAAGTCAAGTGAATAGGATGATACTCTGTATAAATACAAGTGAGACTCTGTAATGAGAGGTTCTGGTCATTGCCCAGTGACCTCATGAACAAAGTCACCATTTAAGCAGGGAGAATTTATGTGTGGGATTAGAAACATGATTTTCATTCTTCATTTCACTCATCATTTGTTCCTAATCTGCCAGCAGTGGAGAACAACACTGAGTCTCTGATATGGCACCGTTACCTAGGTCATTCAACCATCTATCTAGTTGCAGGTGGATAAATTGTACTACTTCCATCATGGAAGGGACAGTATTTTGTCCTTACTAGAATTCATACTTTTTTTTTTTTTTTTTGGTCTGGATAGATATTTACTTTACTTGTTGCAATATTCCTGCCAAAACTACTAACCATGGAATTTCAGAATGCCTTATTCATTGTCATGGTATTACAGACAGTAATAGGCCCATGTTCATGGACTTAATTTTTCTCATTATGTCCCACACCATCCTGAAGAAGCTAGCTTGATAAAATAGTGGAAGGACCTTTAGAAGAAGACTCGGTAACAGGGCCAGCTAGGTGGCAATATTATGTATGCTCTATAATCAGCATCCAATATGTGTAGTCATTTCTCTGATTTCCTTGAGTCACAGGAGTGGAAGCAAAGGGTGGAAATGGGAAAGGTACCATTCACTATTAATCCTTGTGACTTGCTAACATTTTTGCGTCTTGTTCCTGTGAGTTGACACTCTGCTGACTTAGAGGTTATATTCCACGTGAAGGGATGTTTCCACCAATTGATAAAACAATTCCACTGTTTAGTTATAGAGAATAAACTATGGTTACTAGAGAGGAGGTCGATGGGGATGGGTGAAATAGGTGATGGGGATTAAGGAGTGCGCTTGTTGAGATGAGGACTGGGTGATGTAGAGAATTACTGAATCACTATATTGTACATCTTAAACTAATATAACACTGTATGTTAACTATACTGGAATATAAAATACATACATACATACATACATACATACATACATACATAAAAACAATTGGGAAAAAAATTCTCCGAACTGCAAGTAAAGACTGCCACCTGGTCACATTAGTCTCCTCATGGCTCTGAATAAACATACAAATGGGTCTGTGCTGGCTGAGATGTTTATTTTTTTT